CCCACGGCTGGTTTAAGGAGATAGAATAACTAGGCAAGGCACACAGAAGACTTGAAGCCCACAAGGTCCTGAGAGCATCAGTATTGCCTATAGAAGCCTCACTCAGTAGAGAGAGCAGAGAGCAGCAGTCATCTTGGTTTGCTTATTGAGTCCATGACTCTATTTTTAACAACTAAAACAATTGGGAGTAGGGCATGGCTCAGTAGTTGAGCATTGACCTATGAACCAGGAGGTCACGGTTCGATTCTGTGATTAGGGCATGCAGTGTGGGGCATGCAGAAGGCAGCCGATCAATGATTCTCTCTAATCATTGATGTTTCTGTCTCTCTCTCTCTTTCCCTCTCCCTTTCTGAAATCAACAAAAAACTATATTTTAAAAAATTACAAAGAAAGGTATAAATTCAGCAACATTTAAATTTATTTTTTATTAATTCTATAACTCTTCACATACATGTGAAAACATACATTGATAGCACAGTATTTTATCTGCTAACAATGCTGGGTGCACATAGGGACTCTCAGGTCTTTGATAACCCATTGGGCCCATAGCGCACAACTTGGGAATTACTGAATTATGTTGTCTTTCAGGGTGCTTCCAGCTCTAAACCACAGTTATGACTCTGTGCTCATAACAATAATTTTTAAAGCATAAGTTGCATTCAATGTATAAATTTAAAGAGAACAGAAAAATGTGTAATGTGTCTTTAAAAGATCTCCATTGAAGTTTATTGTGATAGAATTTGGTGTAAGATCAAGCTTCAGTAATCTGGACTGTTTGCTTATGGGGATCACTTCCCTCTTTGACAGTGAGGTATAACACTTAACCTGACTAGTGGACCAAGGCGATAGTTGGACCAGTTTCCCAAGCCTTTCTCTTTCTGCAAACCCTGTTATTTGTCATCTTAGAAGGCAGAAAAAAAGTAGTTATACCTCATTTTCTTAAAAGAGCACTAAATATCCTGAAAAGCTTTTTCCTAAATCTTATTTCACTAATTGTAAATGGAGACAGAAATCAAAGATAGTCAAAGGAAATGGGAAATAAATAGATGTCCAGGCTATCAAGAAAATACTTAAAGGAACAGCACCCAGAGCCAGGCATTGCATTTTCCCCTAAAAAGGCATTGGAAGGAGTCACAGTAAAGATGCTAGGAGATGAAAGGAATCATGAAGTGTGATGAGGTCAAAGGATGGTCCTGATGGTATGACAGACTTCATTGCCAGATTCTAAGACTCTCTGTGCTTGCATCACACATTATTTTTAGCTGCTTTTTCATATTTAAATTAGACTTTTATTATTTATTTTTTAATGTATGAGTGCCCCCAACATTACAGTATTCTGCTGACATATATACATGTATATGCATACATACGTGTGTACATTCCTGAACTTTCTTGTAGAGGCTTCTAAGAATATAAGCAGTATTGAATCTAAACTGTACATAAGATTAAGTTTAGCTTCAGTTTTCCCAGAGCAAAAGATGCACAATTTTGCCGCCCCGGGTAATTTTTAGTCTGATTTCCAAAACGATGAATCCATCCTGAAACACACTGGCCTTGTGCTCTCACCTTTAGGAAGTCACAAATGCAATATGAATTTAGGACCTGAGTCCTACTGGAACCTGCCCTTTACTAGTATATGCTGAGATTTTTTTTCCAAGGTGTACTTCATTCTGCATCATTGGAATATGACTTTTGGGCAGCCTATAGGGGAATTAAGCATTAGCTGCTGTCTGCTGCACAGTGGTCAGCGAGCGAGAGCATTCAAAAGGTCTGCCTCTAGCTGGAGTCGTCCTGGGGCCACAAACACAGCGCTGCAAAGCTTCTCAGGTGTCTCTCCACTACCTCTCCTCCCTTCTCATAGGAAAACGAGTTTATTTTTGCCTGATTATCAATTCTCCCTCTATTGATCACCACTTCAGATGAGTTCTTCTGGTTAAAAATAATAATAAAATGGAGCAATGGGCCAACCATCGATCCTGTGCTGCTGGCCACCTCTTTAATTCCACAGCCACGTGGCCTGTTTTCCTGCACTCTTCCTGCCATGGCATTTATTATTCCCGTTGCCACTTTATGCCAAAGTACTCCCTCACACAAAACAATAAAAATCGGCTTTGAGGTCACTATTACTTGTACTTGAAGATCTGTCTTCACCCCAAAGTGGCACTATTGGCAGGTCACCTGTCACCTACTTCAGTCTCCTTCCCAGAGGTAGACAAGCCTGTATCGCCTTGGTTCTCTTTAAAGAAATCGGGCCTTTGCCCAGCATGACTTTGCCTTGATCGAGGTGTCTGTCCAGCCTTGCTCTAATCCATGGCCCTCTCTGAAGATCAGAAGTGTCATTGAGGCAGTTTGCTTGGTTGCTATGGCTGGGTGATCCTAAAGAGACATTTCTGAGTTTGGTGCCAGCTGTGGGAGTCTTTATGGTTTAAACAGGGAGGGGCCTTTAGTAGAAAGTCATTGGGAAAAGGCCCAGGCACCTGAGGTGTAACTGATGTTTTATTAGAGGCAGAGGCCAAGTTCATACCATATCCCCTGTGACTTCAGTCACGCTCAGGAATGTGCAAGGGAATAGGTGTAGATTTCAATGAATAAATCCCTATAAGTCCCATTAAGTTGGGTAAACATTTAGTTCCACTCTTGGTAGCTAGTGGGTCCCCTGGATATTCACAGCTTCCCCAAGGATGCCCATCAGTCGGGAGGTGACCTGGCCTTTAAGGAAACTTTAGATGGAAAGAAGCAAATGGGCTCCATCCAAGAATGAAATTCAGCTACATATGTGTGTTGGTGTTCTTAGCATCTAAGGATCTTAGCAGGGTTACCACCCATGGCTATGGATTCAGTTACTGCTGTTAACCAGGCGGTTCCACCGGCTACCAGCTGTATATCTCTCTTTGGCAAAGTCCGTTTCTATGGTTTCAGGCTCACTCCAATCCTGGCTGGGAAGAGGAGCACCATGTCCACTTGGGGCATACTTGGCTGGCACCATTCAGAGCCTCCACCAAATAGTCTGAAATGACTGCAAAGGTAGCAGAAAGCAAAGATGTCTAAGCTGAAACATCCCAGCACTTGGGTAGCCCTAACAAAGCCTACCCAGTTTCATATAAATACTTAGACAGGCATGAAATGGATTTTCTGGATGTCTGGCTTTTCTTCCTATTGGCTTCTCTCTTCATTTTTGCTGCTGCTTCCTTTTTTTTTATTTATTTTCTTTTTCTGAGGGTTTTTTTTTTTTTTTTTCCTTTTTCTCTTGCTAATTCTGATCCAACCAAGTAGCAATGCATTTTCCAGGGAGCCTTTTAAATAGTGTCTTCCCTAGTCTATTTAGTGGAAATACAAGCTGTTTCAGCCTGTTAAGGTAAAAAAGAAATTTTTTTAAATATTCCCTTTTCATATTTTTAAGTTAGATAACAATTCCTTGCCTTTGATAGACTACCCAAATTAGAAATTTTTCAGATTACAAATACTAAACTCAGCAGTTCCTCCCCCAACCCCCCTTTTTTTGTTGTTGCTGAAGAAAGTTCTAGCCCTTTTGCCTATGCCCCTTTCACACACAAGGCTGCCCTTCTGGCCACACAAAGCCAATTGGAAACATGGACAACAGCGGTGTGAGCCCGCTGCTCTCAGGGCCTGGTTCATGCCAGCTGACCACGAGAGCCAACCCACACCACTACTGTCCCAAACACACTTTTTGAAAACACCCAGCCTTTTTGGCTCTGGTGTTTATCTTTTTAAGTGGGAGCAAGGCAATCTGCTGGCCAGGTCTTCGGGTGGGTGCTGCCCCACCCGAAATGCAATTTAACAAAAAGCAGAATTTCCTACATGGGGATGGCAGGTCTGCTTCCCCCAAAAAACACAGAAAGATTGACGCCATCAAAGACGTGCTGGTCTGGCCTCGGGACAGCCAAGACCTCGCTGGAGGGGCTAGAGTCTGAGATGGGACTTAATGGCTCCCCTGAAAAATGTTTTAAAACGCATGCGGCTCAGTTCCACGTTAGCCCTGCAGAGTCCAAATAAACTGGACCTGTCAGGAAGCGGCGCGGAGCGAGTGTTATGAATAGACTCCTTTTGTGAAGCTGGCGCTTTCCACGCCCAGAAAAACCAGCCGAGGGTAACGTCGGCTCCCTCGGCGTTGATTTTGGTCAAATCCCTCCCTTGAATGACCTCAATGTAATTTGGCTAGTTATGTGAGACGTGTTGCTTTTTCCTAGTTTTCTGGAAAAGAAATTAAAAACGGGGGCCGCGCAGATGTTGCCCACGGTGCGGAAGGGCTGGACATGCCGGTGGAAACCATGCCCGGCTTCCCGAGAGCACCCCGCTGGCTTCTGAATGAAAGCCTTGTTACCTGGAAGTGTTTTCAATATAAAGTTTGGCACCACCCTGTGGAGCCGCGGGAAAGAATCGGCCCTTTCACACATAGCTGCCGGTCCCGCTCCCTGAGATCCGTGTTAGCGTCGGGGCCCTCGCTAAGCCTGTGCCCCTTTGAGAGGGAATGGTCCCCTGATTCCTGGTTCAGGACTAGTCCACCTTCTTCTGGTTCAGCCCAGCAGAGGCCCCTGCTGGCCAGGAAGTCCACCCTCACAACACGGGTAATGCCGGTTTTGTGTGTTTAAAAAATTGCCCAGCACATGTTTTTGCCACTCTTGGCAGATGGCCGCTTTGCCAAGCTGTCAAGTCTGTCCTAATTAATGGCCCGACTGCTAAGAATCCTGATTTCTAGAGTCAGAACCAAAACCAGATCCCAGCCCATAAAGGCTAAGGTCACAGATGTGAGCACTGTAGGTGCAGCCTCCCTGAAGAGACCCAACCCCCCCAAGAGGTCCAGGCAGGACCCTTATATCCACCCACCCCCAAGGGAAGGACCCAGCCAGGCCTGCAGCCTCTGTGACCGCTGATAGAGTTGTGAGACAGCTAGCAGCTTCTCTCAGGGGTATTGTGGGTTCTTCTGTGGCCCAGACTCAAGGGGGGGCAATAACCTATTTCATTTTATTTTTATTTTCCAGTTCTCTCAGGCCAGGCACACCACAGCCCTTTGAAACGATCTGTGTCCCTTACCCCACCCATGAATGTGCCAAACCAGCCTCTAGGACATGGATGGATGTCTCATGAGGACTTGCGAGCTAGAGGACCCCAGTGCCTCCCATCCGATCATGCCCCCCTGTCTCCACAAAGCAGTGTAGCCTCTTCAGGAAGTGGTGGGAGTGAACACTTAGAAGATCAGACCACTGCTCGTAACACATTCCAAGAAGAAGGTAGTGGTATGAAAGGTGAGTGACGGAATGAGAAACCACTGGGAACAGAGCCCCTCTCTGTCTGGAGTCAGAGGGTAGAAGGAGAGGGAGTCATCCAGAGAGAAGGAGCCCCCAGGCCCGTGTGTTGGGCTCCTCCAGGGCAGAGCTCCTGTCCCGGGTTGACCATGGAGGAAAGGGCTCAGATTCCCCTTCCAGGGCTTCTTGCCAAAACCTGGAAACAAGACCAGAGCAAGAGAGGTCAGCGCCCTTTTGAATGAATTAAATTTTTTAAAGCAGTGGCTTGCAGACAATCAAATGAGTCACAGCCAACGCTGGTAGGACCTACTGCTTGCGCATACATTGCTCAGCCTGCCCTGTATGTAGAGATGCTGAGCCGCTCCAGCCTTCTGCCTTCTTGGCCATGTGTTGCTATGGCCAGGGAACCGCCAACAATTTAACAAAATAAACCATAGGGTCTTTTTTTTTTTTTTTTCCAACCTCTCTCAATGCAGAACTGTAGCAGTGCTTCCTTTCCCTCTCCCTTTCCCTTTGATATCCAAAGAAACCTTTCAACCCTTTTCTCTGCTTCTGTTGAAGGGATATGAAAATATCACTGGGAATCTGACAGTGTTTTTTAAGCCTGATAACAGGTTTGCATACAGATGATAAAGACCTTTTGTGCAGCATAAATAAATGTTCCTACATTGCCCTCTAAATCTACCCTCTTCTAAAAAGACTCATCAGGAGATAAAGATCTCCAAATTACCCACGATAGGTTCAAAGAGGATTCGTGCGTCCTGTATTTCTAGACACCAGCTATTCAAGGGCGGGCAAGTCCTTAGGGAAAGATGCTCATCGGAGACACACTCAAAACAATTGAGGAGGGAGAAACAGTAACTAGTCATGTGTCTGGGACTGGGAGGCTGAGGGGAGGCTCTGAGAACACCCCCTTTGCTGGCTTTAGTAGTCCTGAGGTTTTGCTGTTTCTCATCTTTCCCTTGAAAAGGATCAGTGTTGACATAGGAGGCTCTGTACAGGGTCCCCTCCCTGCCATGGAAGCCTGGCACAGAAAGCTACCCACAACTACCCAGAAAGGTGCCAGTTGTAAGAAAGGACCAGACTGGAAATGGAATGAAGCCGGTGGGAAGCGCTGCCCACCCCATCCCCGGTGGGCCCTGTGCTGAGTGTCCAGAGCATGCGGGGCGTGTCCTGATGTTTTCCTGTAAGGATATCATTGGGTCTTTAAACGTGTTTACAGGCTCATTGTAAAAGCGTTTACAATGGCTCATTTGGGCATGAAGGGGATATGTGTCCTCTCTCTCACACACACACAGTTCTCAGGGAAATGTGCCATCATTTTGGAGACGTAGCAAAACCCATTTCTGATCTTATGCTTCGTGGTTTTGTGCTCACGCAGCTGATGCCCAGGGGAGGGGTCGCAGGTGAGGCTTGGCTGTGCCTTGGGTTAGCCAGCAGGGCAGCTGTCCCTGGGGCAGCGAAGTGCCTGAGGGGCCAAGGCGGGCAGAGGCAGCCGCTTTGGACCAGACTTTTCCAGGCGAAGTGGAGTGTCCGGAGGGCATGTTTCCAAGCAGTCGCCTGTGTGGTTCTAGCTGGTGACTGGGAAGGAGGCCTTGCCTTTGTATTGAAGGGTGAGGAAGGTCTGTGAGAAGGCCGCCCACCAGGATACAGACCTCTCCCTGAGAGGAATGCTGGTCCCACAGCTCTGTACGAGAGGTTTGTTTGCTTTTCTTCCTTTTCGTCCTTTTACTCCCCTTCTTTTTCTTTCTTTTTTTTCTTCTTTTGGAAGCCTTTCGCACACCTTAGACATTCTCTCAAAGTAGGCAAAGGTGTGCTTGCTCATGGTGTGCTGGCCTTTTGAGCTGAGAAATGAGTAAAGAGAGCATGTTTTTAAAGAGAAATAAATGAAAGAAAATTTACATAAATGTCCTATCCCTGTATTAGAATAAAAGCCAAAATATTCCAGAGTTCAAGGTCTATCCCATATACTGTCTACGCTTCTTCAGTGCCTTCCTTTAGAGTTGATGAGAATTGTCTCCTTGGAGCTTTTTCTTCCAAAAGATCTGACATCCAGGATTTTCTTTATCGGCCCGAGGGCTACTGGTGACTGGGTGACTCTCTCCCGTGTGTGCCCACCATCTGCTGACCTATAGAACTGTTCTTCTCTTAAAGAGCTGGATTGGGATGTACAGTATAAAGCTCTTAGCAAACAAAAGGGCAAAACATATTTGAAGGACGGAACATGGGAGTTAAGGAAGGATTCTATTTGTGGGGAAAGTATATCCTCAGTAGAAAGGTCCATGCCCGAAAACAGCAGCATTCCCGAGTTGGGGGCCAGTGTTTGTGAAACCTGAGTGCCCCTCCCCCAACCCTGCCTGGACAGGTCCTCATAGGATGGCCCCCGCTGGGATGGCCTCCTGGGACAGTGCTGGAGAAGCGGCCTGAACAGGCCTGTCCCAGGAGGGTGTCATTTGATTCCCAGGTCCAAGAGCAGATGCTGGTTTAAATTTCCAAATTTAATTCCTACTTTCTGAGAAATGAAATATGAAATCCGATGAAGTGCTTTTAAAAAGAGCCAGCACTTCCTCACGGATTCACAGCTCTTTTTTCTTGTGAGTAGGCCCTTTGGCGAGAGGGTCAGCCCCTTCCCTCTGCTCGCTGGTCCACCTCGGGACGCCATCAGCTAAGTGCTGTTTTTCTAATTTTTAAACGCCTCAGTTACGGGAACAACAAGGAAGCTATAGTAGAATTTGGAGGAGTTCCAAATCTCCAGGGGACGCATGTCAGCCCTCACCCCACACCTTGGGGAAAGAATAAAAAGTCACCATAATTGAGTTTAATTTAGTGTGAATTCATCGTTCTTGCCAACAGCTTGTGCGTACCTTGCTGAAACACTGTGTTCATCCGTTTCTCCCTTTTCATCTAGACAGAGCAGCCAGATTTGGCTATGAATTGTCCCTGAGGAATGTGCCTCTCGGGTCAAAAGTGTGAAATAAAGCTCACGGCCCCGCATTCTTGCTCTTTTTATTTTTTCATAAACATTGATCTCACCCTTTTTTTGTCTCCGAATCAGCACTCCCTGCCAGGGATTCTCACTAAATTCTCTCCCAAGTAGACCAGCTCCTGCTCTCAGAGGATCAGCATCATCTGCCAGCTTTGATTTGTTTTTCCTTTTATAGTAAATAGCCATCCTGAAGGTTTCAGTCAGCTCCAAAGCACGGATTGGCTGGCCCTTGGGGCAGGGATCTCAGAGGAATGTCTCAGGCCACGGGAAGAATGGGATCATCTACTCATCTAGAAATTAATGGGCAGAAGTGAGATCCTGAATGGGAATAGGAAAGCTTCCCCCGTTGACATTCCCTGGGGAGGGTGCTGCTTTTGCATGTTTGGACTAAATATGCTGGTTGTGGTTTCTAAATTCAGTTGCCCTTGTTCTTTGCAAAAACGTCACTGTGGCTTCTCCCAGGGGAGCAAGTCTTGTGAGTCGGTACTCAATGATAATATCCCCCTTTCCCTCAGCATCACGTGAGTGGAACCTTCTCTCTTACCTCTTCTCTCATGCAAAGCCTTCAGGTGGCCAAGAGGGGAAAAGAAGACATTTCCATATTTTCCTAGAAAGAAGAGAAAATATGGAAGAGAAGCCCATTTGTGGTAGAATAAGCACATTTGCCCTCGTATTAGCGGCGTGTTCTCAGAAATGTAGAGACTCAGCAACTGAAGACTTATCCAAAGGCCAGGGCTGTTGACGGGTGAGGTGGCCATGTGACATGGGAGCAGAGAGAAGGGGAGAAAGATTGATTAACAGGTTTGTTTTGTCCTCATTCAAGTCAGTGGGCTTTTTTGAGCACCTGCTGAGAGAGGCTTTGGACTAGCTGTTGGGGAGACAGAGGCGGAAGAGATTGTTCCTGCCTCAAGGGACGCACTATCACCTGAGAAACAAACATGCCTGATGCAGGTGCACAGCTGTGAAAAATATCTTGTCTTGGAGACTTGCTCTGGATCAGGGTTGGTACCAAGAAGGGCCCTAAGTCAAGTGGACGGAAGCCAAGGATGGTTCCCAGAGGAGGAGAGGCCTGGAGCCGAGTCCCCAAGTATGATTAGAGGTCAGCCAGGTATAAGAGGTGAGGGAAGGGCAGAGGGAACAGCAAATGGGAGAGCATGGGACAGCTTGGCCAAATAGGTCCGATAGCTTGAGTGTTAAGGACACATGGGAAAGGGGTCTGTAGGGGGAAGAGCCAGATGCCAGGCTTCATGAAGGATTTTGGCTTGTATCCTGAAGTTGGTAGAAGCTGTTGGAGGAATTTCAGCAGCAGAATGACCTGCTTAGATTTTCATACTAGACATAGGACCCTCGCAGCAGGGTGGAGGATAAATGAAAGTGAGAAGGGGACGGGGGATTCTGGATTTGGAGGGCAACTGAAAGCTGGAAGAAATTTCAGTAATTGAGGAGGAAAAGGAAAATAGATCAAGGCAATTGGCAGGGAGAATGCAAAGGAGTGAGTTCACAGGATCTTGGTGAAAGGAATGTACACTAATGGAATGTCGACTGATGGAGTGGGTGGAATCTAGGATGATGCCTACATTTCTGCCTGGGGCATCTGCGCAGCCCATGATGTCATCTATAGCAAAGAGTATATAGGAGAAGAAAGAGTTTGGGGGAATAGTGTGGGGCAGGGTGACTGTGGGAACCTGTAGAACATTCCAGTGGAGGCGAGCCATCCAGGACCACAGTGGACCATGCTCTTCGCTGGCCCTCCCTTTTATAAAGACCCCTGTCTTCTCTCCTCACCTGCACAGTTTAAACATTATGCTTATCTGTATTCAACTTCATTGGGGGACTTCATTCCAGATTTCTGGCTAGGGAAGCCCATAGCTTTGGGCCTAAGAGTGAGACTTTCTTGTTGCAGTTGTCAGTGTGAGAGGGGTAGAGATGGGAGGTCTGTTTCTTTTGAGATGAGCTTCGGCCTCACCATTACAAATTCACTGGGTACACCTATGATGTGAGGTATTATGTTAGG